ATGTCAATTTTCGATAGATATGGCACTAACATATATTAATATTTCTGACAAGCCAAGAATGTCAGATTTCTAAGCACAATATGAATCACATTAGAATTAAGAACAGCTGAGCCTGCACAACAGATTATACAAGTATTTATGAAGCACAGGAAATACTCAAAGCCAGCAAGTTCAGCTGTATACCAATATAACTAATAACTGTTATGCTCCATGTATCTGGTAAAAAGCCATTTTATTGACCAGATAACTAACTACAAATTAACAAAATACTGGATAAAATATTGAACATCTGGGCAAAATATAGGGGGCATTAAAAATGCCCTTTGAAAGAAGGAGTCTGTTCTCATTAAAAGCTTTTCTCTTATGAAGACTGAAGGAAGATCAATGAATCATGAAAGCAATTCAAGTTGAGCAAAGTCCTTCTTTGCTCAAAATGGCAGATTTCAAAAATTCTGGCAAAATGGCTTGGGGGAAAAAAAAAATAATCAGGGTACCCAAGCTCAGGAAGAAGAAAACACAAACCACAAGATTCAATTTGCAGCAAAGACGATCTGAAGCTATTTATCAGATAAGATTGAAACTGCCCCTATCTGGACACCTTTCAAAGAATTCTTATTTGGAATCAATAAAGTGTTTTCTACTATTGGCTGAAAACAACTGATGAGGTTCCTAAAACAGCCCCTTAATTTAATTTACTTGGACATGAACAAATTAAAAGCAGAGTTACAGGATATAGTACTAATAATGCAGATATGTCACTGTAACATTTTTTGGTGCCCTTAATCAGTTTGATTCATTAAAATAGTAACTGGTTGTGATGTGAAAGAACTTTGCTAAGTGTTAGAGTCTTAAAAAAACATAAAATAAATCAGTGATCTGGAATGAAACACTGGAATGGAAGTCAATGAAAACAAAGGGTAAAATATTCTGGTTTTACGAAAAAAAGTACTGAGTCTTTAGCCAAGAAAGCAAAGTCCTAAGCAATATCACAAAAACTGACATCACATAGGATTTTTGCACTTACACACCTTTCAATCCACCTGCTAGGATGGTCTCCTCTGGAGCAAGGAAAGTCTCATTCCCCATCCTCCTCAGTAGGTGTGGAACACAAGTTGTGAAGAGGGAGAGAAAGTCTTCGATACCAAAGACAAGAGCTGGAAGGAGGTGGGTCCCCACAGAATCACAGACTGGTTTGGGTTGGGGGGGACCTGAGAGTTCATCTCATCCCACCCCCTGCCAGGGGCAGGGACACCTTCCACTACCCCAGGCTGCTCCAAGCCCCTTCCAGCCTGGCTTGGAGCACCTCCATGGATGTGGCACCCAACCACAAACACACCAGAGCTCCAGGGAAGGTGCCCAGGGAACCAGAAGAGACCTGGGTTAATTTTTTCAGGTGGATTACAGATAAGTAGGGACAAAAAAGCCCCATGAGCTTCAGTCATTTGTTCACAAGAGCAGGAGACATCAGGACTGGACTCCATCCAGCTGGGAACCTGCTTTGAATGACCTTTCGGGGTCAGCCTCAGAGATTGTGTAACAGTTTTGGTATTTTCTCTCTCTGTGGCACAATTTTAACAAACCTGTAATCACAGCACCAAAAGGTGGGAATGTGAGTACAAATCCCCATCCATAATTGCTTTGCCTGGTTCAGAGTGGGAACTTTTAATTCAAGTCTTCCACTCATCAGGAGGGTGCCTGAACCATCAGAAAACAGTGATTTTTTTCTGGCTCACTAACTATTAAATAACTCACACAAAGTTGAAAAGGAACAGACTCAAATACTCACACAGATTATTTTATATTAAGGACATTCAAACTTCTAAGCCCAACAACCCACATACCAAACATTTCTGTAAGATCAAAAGGCACATTTTCTGCTCTCTCCCTCACACAATCCCACACACATCTAAACTTCCTCCTCTTACCAAACATCCTGGGCACTTTATTTTCAGACTGACTGCTCTCTAAAAATTATTTGGTTTTGCTTCCTAGCAGCTATATTAAAACCCATTATGAGATGAGCAATATCCAAGAGAGCCAGGGGATGGATCTCAAGTTGGGCTGCTCGAGACAGACACAGCTTGGAAGTCATTTTCAGTAACCCACATCCTGCTGTTGGGAACTCTGAGGTTTGAAAATCAAGCATTAGATGAAGCTAAATCTAAATTTCTACTACGGCATGCAAATGCTATAATCAGGTAGAAACAGATGAGAACCTAAAAATCCCACTTGCATTGGCTTGTAGGTGGACAAGACTTGGACAGTAACATTTTTCAGCATCACCTCTGACTTATGGAGAAGGGCAGATCTGACAGTTCCAGACCCAGAGCATCCAGAGATGCTATTCAAACTAAGCACCTTGTATTTTAAACACACTGTGAATGCAGACTGCAAGCACTCACACATTCAGCAAAGAATGTAAGAACTTGTTGTTATGCTAATGTATATAAAATTTAATCTCTAATGGCTTAAAAATTAAGTCTTTAAAATAAAATGAGTTTACATTTCTTTGCAGATCTACTCCAATCTGCTGTTTGTCAAGATATGGAATGGAACATCAAACTCAAATTTCTCACCAGCTCAGGACTAGATACCAGAGTTTTAGCAACTCTAGCAAAAGAGGCAATGTTTTCAGGAGAAAAATAAAATTGTCTGCTGGTTGCTTATAAAGTTGGCTTGAACTCCAGAATCCCTCCTAGTGCTCCTTCACAAAGTGTTTCGCAAAAACCTTCCAAAAATACTCTCCTCATTAGGCCATAAAACAAGGAGCAGGACTGCAAGCTGACCATCCAAAGCAATTATTTGCTCTTTCACACCAGATTAAATGTTGAGTAACCACCACCTTCGGTGGAGTTATAATGGTCCATTCAGAAATGAGGACAGAATTTAGCAGAACACATCCATTAACTTCCAGTTACTTGTGACAGAACAGGAGATGATCTATTTGGAGTCTATTAAGACTGCAAATAAACTCTATTTTTGCAAGTCAGAATAGAAGAGTTATGGCAAATTTTTTGGCATTTAAGAAATAAGATTATTTTGCTGTAGATCAGTTGCTTACAGACCTACATTTTCTCCTAAAAATATTTACTCTTGTATAACCTACTGCCTATAAGATTCCTTTCATTCATCTTTCTCACTCCTTTTTGGACTATTTAATGGATGCTGAGGGGTCTGCAAAAACATTGCAGCAGATAAAGTCAAAAGTGAGGGAAACACTGACCTTGTAGCACCCATCAGTCTCAAACCCACTTGTTTTAAGTGTACACCAACTCTACCACATGAGAAACCTGCAAGTCTGAAGAAGGCTCAGAAATGCTTCCAGACCCTTTACAAGCACCTCTGGAGATGGCCAAACATCCTTCTTGCAAACATGACAACATTCAGAACTTACCTGGGACCTCACAAACAGCAGCTAGCAGCACTAGAGAGCCCAGATGTGGAGGAAACAGCTGGAGCTCTGACTTCTTCACTAGACAGCTGGAGACATCCCAATAAAAGTCAGCACAGCTTTCGAGCCCAGTTTTTTGCTGTTCCAGCTGCACGTTGTGGTTCCTTGGGGAATGCTCTGGCTGAAGAACTCCTGGTAGCATGGTTTCATAAACCAGTGCATATACCTGCTTTGTTTCTTATTGCCCTGGGATTAAATCACATGCTGAGCTTTACTTTGGTTAATAAGTCAAGGAGTAGAATCTGACAGCAGAGGCTCAGTGTGCCAGTGATAAAGGAAAAAGCAAACTTTAGTCCATTCCAATTTCCAGACCAGGATAAAATCTTTGAGGTAGTAGTAGCCCCAACCAAAGCAGAGGGGAAAGACTTGAGCAAAGAGAATTTAAATGCTTCACTCCAGTCTGTCTGGGAAAGGAAACAGCAGAGCCTGTTCTGTGCTCTGTTAATTTTTCTTTCAAAGGTTCTAATTTTTTGTTATTCACTATGGTAAAAACCCCCCATGTTTTGCCATATAAAATAAGTACACTTCTCTATCACCCACTTCTAACAATATATATAAAGATTGTATATTCTAAACACATCATTTGTCAACAGCTTGTAAATCAGGTTTTTCCAAGTAGTAACATTAGCCATTAATTGTTTTAAACTTCACAAGTGAACATTCAAACAGGAAATATGATACATAAACAGGAACAAAGTCTTTAGCACAGCATTCAGTATAGCCCAGCCAAAGCCTGGCCAGTCTGTTAGAAACCATCAGCAGCAGCTCTAAACACAACTGCTGGTTGAACAGTGAATGTTCTCCCAGGGATGTCTGTGAAGTTTGCTACTGAGCAATGGAAACAGCATTTTCCCCCCTACTACCCTTTAGCTGTAATGTCTTGAAATCTAGTCTCCTTCCTCTCCAAATTTTTAGAGTCCAAAACCTTACTGCAACTTTTGGTTGTACATTTTTCTCACGACTGAACCCAAACATTCCAGTTTCTATTTGTGTGTCAGGAATATTCATATGCACCCCTCTTTTTTATTAGCAGTAAATAGAGCCTAAAATGCAGCCTCTGGTTCATTTTTATATTTTGGTCACTGCATGGGTTTGAGGAGGAAAAATGAACCTGTCAGAAAACCCTGAAGTGGCAGTGCTGGAATGTGAGCAGGGAAAACCCAACCACTCACAGTTTAGGACCAGTTTGTTCCCCCTTCCAAAGCCCAGCTCTAGAGTGAGTTTTGTTTTACTGGGAGGGTGGGCAGGCTCTGGCTGCCCCTGGATCCCTGGAAGTGTCCAAGGCCAGGCTGGACAGGGCTTGGAGCAGCCTGGGATGGTGGAAGGTGTCCCTGCCCAGGGCAGGGGGTGGGACTGGATGAGCTTTAAGGTCTCTTCCGCCCCAAACTATTCAATGAGGGTTTTGTCCATATTTACTATTAAAAAAAATCACATTACAACTCATGAGACATCTGAACTCCCATTTGTGGGGGCATTTTGAGTCCCAAATGCATTACAGAATCATGTACCCCAGAGAAGGGAACAGGAGTAGAAGAGACAGACAAACATGGAGAGAAAATGTGTAAAGTGGTATTATGTTATTAAAACATTACATTAGAAATAAACAGAACATAAACCAAAAATAGGTTTTAACCAGGTTTAACTTTTTTCTTTTTCTTTTTTTTTCTTTTTTTTTTTTTTTTTTTTAAATTCAAATTGACCCAAAGCAAAAACTTACATTGCAAAGGAAGAACAAAATACATGATGGTACTGGTAACACAGCATTGCATGGAAGCTGCACTTGTGGGCAGGTTTTTTCCTCCAAACCAGCCCATCCTAGTAAAGATGCCATATCTTTTCTTTTGCCTCTGGGTATTTATCTGAAGAGTTTGTCCAGATGTCTTCTCCTATGATTGCCAGCCAGAGCCAGAAAACTGAATTTTCCATGCTATCCCAAGGAAGCCAGAGTTATTCCAAGCATGAGTGATAGTGAATTTAAAAAAAAAAAAAAAAAAAAAAGAAAGAAAACAAAACCAAAACAAAACAAACCCACTCGAGCTTTTCAAACTAACAAGTATTGTCTATAATGTAAATAGTTTAGAAATATGGTAATTAAATAATCTAAAAAACACTCTTACTCTGCTGTACATTTATAAACATAAATATTTACAAAAACTTTCTGCTTTGTTTTAAAGGATGAGGTTTGCAGTTTGTTAATGATCAGAGTCTTTTACTCATATTGATTCTTTGGTGTGTTTGCCAATTTTTTAAGGTTTATTAAAAGTGTTCAACCGTGAATTTTAAGGTAACGGAACGAGGCTACATCACAAGTCTCTATTATGCACTTCTCCTTCCACATTCTAGTCCAAATGAAAAACAAAGGTCAGTTTGTTCTTCAAAATATTTGTGCACAATATTGAAAATAATAATAATAATAAAATAAGACCAAATTCCCCCTTATTGAAATTTGGGTAGGATCATCAATGAATAATCCCACTTAATCTGCACTTGAGCACATGGACAACCAGAGATAGTGCACAGGACTATCAGTAGGTTCAGATCCACGTGTGCTGTGGTGCTTTGCAAGAATTAAGGTGAGAAACCAGCTACAAGAGATGGCTTAGCATTGCAAAAAAAGGGTGAGGGCTTCCCTCCACCCTGGGGAGAGGAGAGGATGAAAATTAATTTAAAAGAAAGGCTTTTTACTGGCCTAAAACATATGTGTGTTCCCTTTTAGATGTCAGTTACTTAAAAGAAATAACCAAAAAACAAACCTCAAACAATAAATAATGGAATTACACATTTCTTCATTAAATAGCATTCTTGTTACCAACAAAGTCTTTCATAATTTTCTTCAGTCACAGCAACAGACAGAACAAATAATTTGCCTTAATATAGATTGCAACTAAAATATACTCTAGATTACCTTAGAAAATATTACTGTAAAAATTCAGTGGGGAAGGACATTGGTTCAGACCAACTTACAAGTGTAGTGAACAATACTAAGTCTGTTCTGTTTGTTGTTTTTTTTTTAAAGAAAACAGTTTTAAGCTCCTGATTTCATGTCAGAAAATGGAAGATTTGTGTTAAAACCTGCCAGTCTGCCCTGTCTCAGCACTGGAGAGCTCAAAGATTGGAATGGCTGATCTTCCCTCCACAGGGGCCAAGAGATTTGGGCCATGCACTCAAGCTCACAGCCGACAGCTTGTCCCTACTCCACAGATACAACCAGTAGGAAGCACTACAAGCTCTACAACCCAGTGCAGGGTGTTGGGCTGGACTTGCTCACTCACACTGCCGAGGTGTGAACTCCTGCTCACTGCTCCAGCAGCTGGACTTGAACCGGTACAAGCTGGAGATAAAAAGGCTCAACAGCCCATTGCCAACCCTGTGAGCCATGAATCTCCAAAATCCCTCATTGTCTGCAAACCTGATGCAATGCCAGGCACAATAGGGACAGCTAATCCTCCTTGCTTGCCATGGTTCCGGTGCATCCATTAGCAGTGATAAGGTTCATTCTCAGGGAGCTGCAGTCCAGGGTTATCAAATATTAAAAGGAACTAGCAGAGTTAAATAATGTGAGTTTACCTGCCTTACCTTGCTTTTCCTATTTTTAACACTAAGTATTTTGAAAGTGACAGTGTGAAACTTAAAAGCCATCATCATTCCTTTCGTCTCCCACTTCAGTTGGTGCAATTGCTACAAAAGCACTCCTACTATCAGAGGGGCTCTTCTGGAGCCAGGCAGATGCCAAAATAAAAGTAGAGAACACTGGCAAGAACCTTATGCTGAGTCTGTAATGCCTTGAAAATAAAGAGGGAAACAACTGCACATTTTGGCCCAATCTTTTGATCAATAAATTAATTTTTTCCTACGATCAGAAACAAAACTCTGCAACAGATCTTTTAATACCTGGTTTGAAAGACACATTCAGTAGCCAGATTTCAGCACTCCTCTCAGTTTCTGCTTTCAGATTAATTGCAAAATTTGAACTCTCAGTGTCAGTGGGGCTTGTCTTCTCAGTTAATAACTTATGTGCACTTCCCGCTCTCTAACCTGAAACAAACTGAATTTCAGAGCGGTCAAAACAACCCCTACCCCCATCCCCGCTGCTTTTAAAACCAAAGGGTTTGGCCAATTTTCCTTTTTTTTTTTTTTTTTTTTTGACACAATTTGGCTGAGAACCCGTAGATAAAATCTCAACTGAAAGTGAAATAAAGCAGGTTATACATTCATGAAATTCAGGGAGTAATAATGAACAGCAACTGCTGCATCATTTCTGTAATGTCACATCAACACTACAGTGGGGCAGCAGTTCCTGCTCTCACAAATAATGCACTGAGCCTAAATGAGGAATAGTGGGGGAATCACACATCAAGGGAAACACATCAGAGAGATTATTGCACAGGAGGCACTGTATGAGCAACAGAATACATTGGCTTCAAAAAAAATCTAAATTTGATTCCTCTTAAGTTAAAGTAAAAAATACAGAGGCTATGCCTCTCTGTAGTGTACTGTCACTGGTAAAAACAGACTTACAAACAGCCCATTCAACAGGGAATCTTGGGAAAGAGGGCCTGAATTTTTTGGGCATCCCAATTACAGTAATTAGGAAAAGAAAAATGCCAAAAACCAAAAAAAAAGCCAATGTATAGACCCATAGACCCTCAAATTGAACAGGGTAACTGCATTTTTTTCCTCAATTTCCAAACTATATTCATACAGCACCCAAGGACATGTCGATTATCCCCTCTTCCCTCTGTCCTGCAAGAACAAACACCTGGCAGAGACAGAGGTCCTAACAAACAGGGCTCTGGAGGTCTATCTGTATCCTTTTGCAGGACTGGTGCCTTGATTTCCAGACTTTTATGTTCTTGCATCATTGCTCAGCATGCCAACTCAAACCAAGCACTTCCCTCGAGGGGCTGCCTTCCATCTCCACGGCAAGTCTGCACACATAATGTGAAAACAAACAGAAAACCAACAGCAATTTTTAAAATGCAATATTGTATAGAAAGCTTGGACCTTGTAAACTTGGACCAAGAAACCAAAAATTAAGACCTTCTAGCGTGTGGTATAAAAAACCCAAGGAAGTGTATACCTGCCTTCTGACTTCACAGAAAAATCAGAATTTGCATAGGATATACTTTGTGCAAGGCAACAAGCCTCTTCAGTATCTGGAATAGAACTAAACTTGCTCACAGTTCCTCTCTTCATGGATATCAGATATCATCAAATTTGTGTTTTAAGTAGTCTTTCATGACCTTGGCAATGGGTAGTTCATCAAGCAGTTTGAGGTTTTGAAGGCCTATACACTGACGGATTTTAATTCGGCATAGATCTTGCAAGTTTCTGGGCTGTCCTGAAAAGACAAAAGGAACACATAAAAATAAAATGATCACATTTTAAATGTATTTTAAGACATCATTTACTCTGCAAAATGACAGGGGTTTGCTGTTTCCTAAGAGGGAGAGGGAAGGGAAAAATTACAAGAGAATCACAAGTTAATACCTTTTTAATGAACTCAATGAAATCAAGGGATGAATCCTAAAAACATTTTTATATGCACATAATTTTACTGATGCCAGTGTAAAAAGTGATTTCACCCATGTGAGGATTCCCACCAGGTGGCAACATATGCTTATGCATTACAGAACAGCAGAACTCCTCCATTTAACTTTTTGTGGATTTTTTTTCTTTCCTTGGGGGGAAAACCTCTCAGTCTTGCTTTTCTTTCAAACAATGAGACAGAAACTTCTAAGTTCAGCTGTAACAGGACTAGGAAGTTTCCTTAGAGAGTGAGGATTTATAGAAGTCATTCCAGGATAGCTGTGGCAGAGTTACAGATTGGGGTTTTCCTTCCCTTCTAATGAAAAGACAAAGCCTTCGGGCTTCAGAGGCAGCCAAACCCTCATCTAACAGAAAGGGATGAAAATGTGAATTAACCACTGTCCACAGAAGAAAAGCTTTACTGGTATCACACTGTCCTAAGCTGTTCTTTCTCCCAAATTTGCCATAAACCAAGACAAATCCAAACTTCAGCATTCCTGGCACAGATTTTCCAAAATAATCAATTATCTTTCAAGCTCATTCTTACCAGGAAACTACTCAAAATCCAACACCTTGAGAAACAGTTGAGGTTTGGTCCCTCTACCCAAAATCTCAGAAAATTTAATCAAGTCTTGTATCTGAATGCACCCAGCAATGGATCCCAAGGAAGAAAGAAAGAGAAAAGAGCAGAACAACAGACATTGAGAAATCCTGCCCCAATAAACCCTTCTAGCTTTCAGCACTGGTGCCTTTGAGCCTTCCTAGCCCAGAGATTGCACACAGATCTATGTCTTTAATAGCTGTGAATAGCTTGCCCTTTGTAAATCTGTCTAGTGTTTTTTGAACCCATTCATACTTTCAGTATCCAAAACATCCTGTGGCAACAAATTTCACAATATAATTAGGCGTTGGCTGGAAAACTGCAAAGTAATTTTATTTATTTTAGATCTGCTTCCTGATGGCTTTGTTGCATGCCTGCCATTCTTTGAGTTACAAGGAAAAGAATGAATAATTGTTCCCACGCCAGTCATGGTTTTACATACCTTTATATAAACCTCCATCCTCCACTCATGCTTGGTACCTCTTCCCAAAGCTGAAAACTCCAGCTAACAACCCCCACCATGGGAACCACTCCAAACCTCTGAACAAACTGCCTGCCTTTGTGCTTTTTCCTCATTCTGCTACAGCTTTTTTGGAGTTATTCCAGCAACACATCAAAGCTGTGCTAATCAATATTTTGATCATCAACTTAACTGTGTAAGCCTCTTTTTCTTAATTTTTTTTTTCTCCAAGCCAAGACTTGGTTATGGGACATGATGACTGTCAAATTCAAAATACTCAGCACCCTGAACAATGTAGGTGCTTCTGTTGGTATCTATAGAAATGGGCTGACAGACAGGTAGGGATTTTTAGACACTGGGATTTATCTTAAGCACTAAAATTATCCAGGGCAAGCCAGCAGAAGTAATGCATGAAAATAGTCTCAGTCTGCTTTTAAATAAATTAGGTTTCAAATTAAAAAAACATGAAAATTTGAGTTTCCTTTATGCAAGTTGAAAATACTTTTATTATACTTATCACCACCTAAATGTCAATTTATTTTTAGTTAAATCCTTCATCCATTACTTAGAACACAGACCAATGATTACTTTATCCACCAGTGGTTTCTTCTTGGCAAATTTTTTTCCACCTGAAGGAAAGAATTTAGGCAACTCAGACAGCAGCAGAATGCTCAAACTTCAGGGAAAGGAAAGTTATTTTGGTAAGAAACCAAGCAATCTTAATGGTGATAAAGAAATAGTTGTGATGCTTTAAAACAGGGTTCAGAAAGCAAAAATTCACTGCAAACAGCAGCATTAGAAATGATAAAGGACTAGAGGACTTTGTGTATTTTCTGTAGTAGAGTACACAATAAATCAGCTATGAGACACTGATTTCTGGTTTCAGAAATAAATGCCTTTTAATTAACATCCTACGTGGTTTTTGAGAACATAAAAGAACAGACAACTTAAAATACCCAGAAGAAATTGGTCATCAGTTCATTCAAAAAGACCTGATTATCAAATGTATGACATTTTCCCCTGATAAGCCTAAAAAATATTTCCTGGGAATGTGTTAACAATGGACATTTCCAGTGTTAAGCACCAGTTGCTACATCTAGTGGCTGCTGGTGTCTTAGGTCACGCCTTGCAAATTCCAGGGTTATTAATGCATTTGTGATTTATTAGAAACGGTGTCTGGAACACTTACTCATTCTTGGTTGCATCTGAATGAAAAAGAAAAAAAAATAAAGGATTACGGACCGATGTCAGTGAACCTTAGTTTGGCAAATGAAAAATGTTATTAGTAACTTGGCAAAGTAAGACAAGTTAAATGATGAATAAAGTCCTCTTTAAAAACGATTAGGAAGTTGCAGCTTTGGTTATATCCTGCATCACAAGTTTGGGAAGTTGTTCAGGCAAATAAGCTGGAAAGGAAGAGAATTAAAAGAGAAAGAAACGAAAATCCCAACAAACATGAAAGGTACGATTGGCCTAATTACCACTATCATGCAAAACAGCCACATAAAACTACTGATCACCTTGAAAACATCCAGCACATCCCTGAAGGACCACCTTGCTGCTCTTACTCTGGATTTGCTCAAGTGTTCATCACAACATTACATGCTGCAGTCAATTTATTTTGCAAGCTTTAAAGCAGTAATCAAATAAATTAGAAGTATTAATTACAGGAAAAAGAAGCACAGTTCATCTTTTGCCTTCCAGAGCTTGTGCTCTGTGCTGGAAGGGAAAGCAGAAATCCCCTCCAATGCAATTCTTGTGTACAGTGCCCCAAACCTGACAGAAAAGCTTCTTCCAAACAGAAGAAATGACTTTAAAGAATCAAGAGGAATTGATTTTTGATTTTTTCTAATCTAGATGCAGCAGACTGCAGTATGTATAAAATTTAAGCATTTTCCTAAATCAGTTCTTCAGCTGCTAACAAAGTTACTTAAATTATTATTTTACTTGAATAATGAAATGAGCCTTTTAAATTATTATTAAAAGACCAGCCTTTGCTGGTAAAGCAAAGGAAAAAAACAAACATGTTTTAACAGCAAGAAATTATTACAATTAATCTGAATTTCCACTCAAAACTCCATTCCTTTTCTTTTTGCAGTTTCCAAATTTTTCTGGTGTGGTATCTGAGAGTTTGCTGTTGTATCCCAAAGGCAGACAAAACTTTCACTTAGGATTTGCTGCCTGGCCAAAGAACTGCATCACTGTAAAAACTGCTCTGAATTTATACCTGTGCCTTCCCTCTGCAGACAATGCTTCCCAAGAAATAAAACACTAACTCACCCAATAAATCTATATTTAAGGACCATTAAGGCATATTTGTGATGCCTCTGACAACACTTTTTTGGGGATTTTCATCCAGTACTGTAAAGCTAGAAAAGAGGAATCCCTACCCATTTCCTCCACTGCAGATAGAGAGCAAAAAAATCCATGTAAAAATACAATGCAACAATCATGAATTGACCTTTCTGTTACCCAAGAGAAAACTTGGAAATAACTGAAATTAATACATTGTAGGCTGCAAGAAGATCCCCTCTGATGTATTGTTCTAACTACTAAAAGAAAAGTACATTTAAAGCAAACAATCAGTGCCATTGGTTTCAAGTGGATAGGCTGATTCTAAAGAAATTAAAAAATGAAAAATAACATCAGTGACATATTTCAGAAGCCGCCCACAGTTTTCTCTACAATATTAATGCATCTCCCTAAAAAACCTTAGAGTGGTATTTCTCAAATTGAGCCTCTGCTCCTCCTGGGAATTCTGAAAGGCTGAAAACAGTAGCGAGAAACCATTTGGTAATTTCTTTTTAGCTACAAAGGGAGCTTAAAAATAAAAATCTTCTGAAACATTTTACAAAATATGTTGAAACCAGACTGATGTATGCTGGCAACAGCTCAGCTCCTCTAGAATATCAGGAAAAGTATTTATTTCTGCAGCAAGCCCTTAAAGCCATCCCTTATTTCACAGCGGTGAGGGAATGCAGCTACTGCCAGCAATTAAACTGAGTTCTGAATTTGTTGGCTTTTTTGAGGGGGGAAAATGAAAAAGATAATTGAAGTTATCAACTGGAAACTCACACCCAGCACCCACAAAACACACTGGGGAGGATGTACAAAAATGGGATCACAGGGAAAGGCTGGGATCACCTAGGGAGTGACAGAGGCTGAGCCGAAGGGGAACTCGGCTGCTCAGTGAGTAGGTCTAAAGTTTAGGAAATGCACTGCTTGTACTCTGTAAAAAACAGCAGCAGAAGAATTGGAGATTATTGGAATAATTTCCAGCATTCAAAACATCAGAAAAAGCTAATATCAAAAATCTATAGATCTAAAATATTAATATCAGACAGAGAGGGATGAGTGTAGAATTACAGAGTGTGCTTGAGAGCGTGAACAAATTCCTCCAGCTCGACAGGACACGGAGAGTCCTGTTTTTAACTGCATATCATACAAGTTATTTTAAAGTTCTAATTGAATTTTGTGTTCAGTATGCCTCTGCTAGAATGTCTGAGCCTGACATATGTTTTCATTGGTCTCTGAAAAGTAATTCCCCCCAATGAGTTTTAGATGTCTATTAAATTTCAGTCTATCTGGCACAGAAATTATGTACCATTTTGGACTGAAAATTCCTATATGAAAAAGCAGAATGTCAGTAAGGCTCAATGTTATACTTCACTTCATTGCCAAATACACCTGTTAAGATTTGAGTATGCTTGCAAAGGTATTTAAAAAAAAAAAATAAAAAATTGTGACATCTCTGTAAATTCAGTCTCACTGAAATTGCTATGGAAATGCAGCTAAGAATTCCAGCACCATAATGTTTATCTATTTTTAGGAGGCAGTAAGTAAAGTGCTCTGAACATCAAGACAGGCTTAAGATGCATTGTTATGCTATTTTAAAATGATTTTTGCAGAGTAGAGCATAGGTGTACAAATGGGAGTAGAGCATGGCTGTACCTTAAGTGCCACATATAAAAATAGTATTTAATTTGTTTTTTACGAAGGCCTCTTAAAAAATTCTTTCAAAGTAAATAACTTATATGCCTACACAATATGATTCAACTACTTAATATAGTCAACTGTAGAGTAGAAAATTATAAAATAATCCCCTTATCCCAGTTCCCTGTGTAACTGGACAACAAAGCAGACCTCAATCATCACTGCAAGATTTCCAGCAGCACCCAAGGAAACAAGTAAAGCCTGAGATTCCAGTAAAGATCTGCTATGTTATTACAAACATGAAAATACCATTTCCTTTGCAATTATCCATGAAATAAAATATGTAGAAATCTACTTAATTCACTATGACACTTCTGTATTTATAAAAGTTAAAACTATGCAGACAGAAACTTTAAAAAAATCCTCTTCCAGCTAAAAAATAAAATTCTAGTGAAAAGTTATCTTGATTTAGCCAAGGGATAGAGACAAAGGATGTATAGGATTAAGGATTTCCTTAACAGAACTTCTGTCTCAGTTATTCTGTATATTTACAGTGCTATATAAATTTAAACACAAAACTACACTCTCTAGTCAAAGCCAAAGATCTGCCCTTTGAAAAATTAGAAAAGGAATGCAGCTGAAACATTTGTAGTTAAATTCACCGGGGGACCTTTAGATGTTTCTCCAGAACTGAACTGAGTTCTTTGGTACCTGTTTCCACAGCAGCCACATCACACTGCTCTGGCCAGATCATTTCCTGAGCTCTGCCTCGACACAGACCAGCAGCTCCTCACAGCCTCTCCTGCTCCTGAGCTGAACACAAATTCAGTTAAAGGAGGGCTATGGGAAGGGGGAAGTTTCCAGGCTTTTGTAAAATCCCCTTCTTTAAAGATCCTAATTGAAATTTCTAGTATCTTTATTTAAGCCCTTATATATTTTTCTAATGCTTGCATTTCTTCTACCTCCCACATTAGTTTTATAAGTTTTAATAGTCTCAAATCCCATTCAACTTCAAAATAAATAATTTCATCCAGGGCTGTGATTGCACACTAATTTTATAAATATATACACTACCAATAATAAATAGTCTCTATGTACCTCTGTCTTTCATATATGTCATATACGTGCTTCTCTACTTTAATTTGCATTAGTGCATTCCAAGCTTAACACATTAACACTCCTGAAGAGGCAGGTTGATATGAAAATGGAAACACTTACACTGCTCCAAATCAACTCTTTATCAAATGATCTTAGGTACTATGGTGGCTGCCAGTAAATGTTTTTTGAAACAGGAAAGTGTAATGCAGATAAGGAGAAGGAAGGTGTTTAATAAAGTTATTGAGCAGTTTTCATCTTCAATATATTTTTTTTCCCCAGGGAGACTTTGCTTATTTTTGTATTGTAAAAAAGAGGGAGGGGAAAAAGAAAAACACACAAGTCTGAACACCAAGTCAACAGCAGACTCATGGTCAAAAACTCAGTTGTTCCTAACTTCCAGCTTTGTGCTTAAATACTGAAACACAACTATAGAATAACTTCCTCTTGGAATTATTCTAGGAGCAAAGGAATCTCTACCTGTAACCAGGAAGAATATCAGAACTTCAGGGTCAACCCCCAAAATCCAATATCTTCTTGCAGACTCTCAGGGCCAATACTGAGTATTTCTGAGAGCTTGGTTTCTTGCCTGTAATTCCCAACCGGGGACCTGGGCTAAAGGCTGCCATTATTACCGATTACAATACCTACCAAAACAAAAAGAAATTCACAAATGATGTTTTCTGAGAAACTGAAACTGTACAAATACGTTTTCCAAGTATAAAAAAAAATAGCTACTCACAGACTACTAAATAGTACCCCATTTATATGCAGCATGCAACTGCTTTCACTTGAAGACACAGATCAGTTTGATAACTTTGATATTTAATGGCTATTAATCTTTAGCCTTAAAAATGTTAATCTACTGTAAAAAAAATAAACTATTTCCTGTTTTACTACCAAATATACTCTTCAAAACCTCAGATGCAGATATAAAACTTACAGCTATGGATTTTTATATAAATCACTTAGTATAAGATTCAAATAAACTGAAATTCCCGTTAAGCCCCAAGAACAAGGCACTGTTGCCAACCTCAGAAGAGTTTCAGGAAGAATTCCAACAGAAGAATTGTCCAAAAATATTGTAAATTTTTTTTCCCTAGAAAATACATATTGCAGTAGACTTACAAACAAGATTCTTCCCCAAAGTACTACAGCATGAGATCTCAACAATTCCCTGTACAGTCAGACTGAACTGGGAACTCCACTACCAAAATGCCAGCTTGCTCTTTATCCATCTCATCTCTTATACAGCATCTTATTAAAGTAATTATTCATGAAAAGCAGAGAAGACAGTGTTTGGATATTTACAAAAAGGGCAGCAGAGTTTGTTTACAGTGGTTTGTAAACATACATTGATAATTATTTTGCTCAGAAGCAGAGAGCTGTTTTTGTCAGCACTGCTTTCCCAGTTCTCCCTCCAACAGCACAGAAGTGGGATAGTTCCAACACTGTTACACTGGTCACAAATTAAAGCTACTTTTTTTTTGGTAGCAGAATTTACTTCTCATTAACATTAAACCCTTAAGGTATGGAATCTGCAAACTGAAAGTTACAGTACCTGTTTCCTTTGGTCTTTAGACACTGAGGAAACACGGGAGCAGTCTAAGCTTTCATGCTTAATGATACATCCTATGACTGAGAAACTGCAAGTCTGGATATTATATCATCTCCTAAAATCCCTAAAATCCCTGACACTGCAACTATATAGTGAGAGGCTTCCAAAAAGGAAACCAGAAAGAAATGTGTTTGAATGAGAAGGAGCAGACAAATTAAACCAAAATTGCTTAATTGCTTGTATATCTTATTACCAACTTCCACCTTTCCAGAAATTCTCTTTCAATTTCAGATATGAACAAAAACAACACCACAAATCATTATAGAAAAAGCAAGGAAATTCCAAATGCTTATTTATGTTAGCTACTGACAACAGATCTCAGCTGATTCACTTCCAGCCCACACTGACTTTCAGTTTCTTTACAGAATATATAGGTTATCTAATTCTCATTAAAAAATTACCACATTCAAAAAAATAAAAGGAGCCATAGGGGACAAAAAAAGGATATATGAAACACCACATCCTCTGCAGTGCAGAGATCATTCTAGATGGATGATAATTTACCAGACCATTTTAACATATTTGATTTAGCAAACTCTGCCAAATGCTTATCAGCAATTCCTAAATGCTTTAGGAAATACTATGATTATGAAACATTAGTACAGCATTCCATGTTGAGAGAGGAAAACTTTCAGTAGATCTAGTACGCCAAAAACTGGGAATCAAAAGTGATTCAGAAATTCGGAGCCCAATACTTGTTCTAAATATCAGAAGTTAAAATCTCTCTTATTTCAAAGGCATCAACAAAATCAAATCAAAGCTACACAGCACAGAAACCCCTTCAAGTTGCAGGAATGAACTGTGGCATTTTTTTGTCTGGTTTAAGGGAGGGAAGGAGGGAATGTGGGAGAACACAAAGCAGCCAAAGCTCTCTTCTGCCCTAGTTGTAGTGCAGATGAAAAAGCCATCAACTGCCGAGGATTTGCATGGCAATAAAAAAGCAAAACAAAAGACACTAAAAAACCCCTAAACAAACAACAAAACCAAACTCAAAAATCTTACGTGCTAAGGCCAGAAATAAAATGAGATTTTACAGTTCACTCTTTTAAAATGAATGCTTCCTGTAGATATTCAAACAAACTAATTTAAATGAAGTACACTTAACATTAGCTCCTTTGCCGAGTAAGAGATTCCCAGTATCACAATCCCTTCACCTTCCCAGAAATTTTCTAGTGCATTTAAATAGCATCAAGGGGCAGAGAGGAAGCTTTTTTTTTTTTTTTTTCTGGGGGCTAAATTCAAAGAAGGCTTTTAGAGGACATTGTGTCCTGTGATTAACTTCTCTTACATACATACTTGTCACTTCTTGTAAGAAATCCAGACAGGGTCGGCTACTTCCAGAAATACTTATTGAAACAGCCAGTGGGGTCTGTCCTTCATAGTTCCTTGTGTTAGTGTCTGCTCCGTAATTATACAACATTTGTGCACAAAGCACATCATCTCTAAGAGCAGACAAGTGCAAGGGTGTCTGTCCATCTTCCAAGCGCCCCAAGTTTGTATCGGCCCCTCTCTGGAGGAACATTCGGCAGTACGAGTGATTGCTTTTGATCACAGCGTATCGTAACAGGAAACCATTCTGAATGTCGATGTTGGCATTGTGGTCCAGGAGGATTTTCACACAGCTTGACCTCTCCCGGATAATGGCCAGCTGGAGTGGTGTAGTACCTTTATCACTGAGCGGATCAACCTCAGCCTTGAACTCCAGGAGGAGCCTGACAAAGGAGTCTCTGCCGTAGTGAGCAGCGACGTGCAGGGGAGTCCAGCCGTCGTTGCTCTTGGCATTAATAATGTCACTTCTGTAGTCAGACTCCAGCATCAGGCGCGCAATCCTCGCCCGGCCGTGCATGGCTGCGTAGTGCAGAGCAGTGAAGCCTCCAATTAAGTCCTTAACTGTGGGATCAGCTGAAGTTAAAATAAAATGTAAAAATAATTAGAAGGTGTTATGGTAATCCGGTGCTGAAAAAAAAAAAAAAAAAAAAAAAATTCAAACAGTAATTGCTAGTCTTTCCAGGCATAGCATGACAGGATTTTTTTGTACTTCAAACTGATTCTTGCTTTCATGAACATGCTATTTTTAAGACAAAATTAAAATTGTACTTAAGAACGAGTTAGAATTTTTTTTTGTTTGTTTCTCATACATATGTTTCCATTTGACAAATACTTTTCCACATCTTCCTAGCACTCTTAGGAATTAATTACTAATTACTCAAATCTCTCTGTCCATCCAGTTTTCCCCCAGCTCTACAATATTACATTTCTTTCTCAATGTTCAACTTTTTATTTTCCCTTGTGTTGCTTCTTGGTCTTAAAAAGAAGCATGTGTAGAAACATCTGCTGTCCCAAATTGCGGATGTTTTGTGGTCTGGCAGCATTGTATTGTTTTTAGGGTGTAATGCTGTATTAGGTAAAATGTTTCTCTGTGGTCTGCAGGATTTCCAAAGCATGTAGGATATATGTTATTTTAGATTATCTTGATAAAGTCTCTTTTCATAGATGATGAATCTGTTTAGAACCTGTTCTGAATTTATAGTTTCACAAGAATTCAAGAATGTAAAAACCCACTTCTGAAAGGAGTCAGATAAACTGATAGTGCAGAGTACAGGTAATTACAGATTTATTTCCCCTTCACATAGCACAAACACTCAGACTGATTTATTAATCTAAAAATTAAAATAATACAATCAATTTAACTAATTTCCTCAGGACACCCAAACTTGTTCTACAAATGACTAATTAATTACCCAAGGCAAGGTGCCATTTCTCAGCTAGAGAACAAGCCAGGATGTGAAGTTTCTCCTTCCACCATCCATGGGCGCTGCTGTTGGACACTAAAAAGTACAAACTACAGTGTGGAAGTCTGAACACTTTCCCAACCTAAGTTAGATACCATCTGCACCAGAAGACCTGCTCTAAGTTCAAAACAATATTAATTGCAGGCTACCCTAGACTGAACACATCTGAACACACAAAGGTGCAAACACAAAACAGGAATAAGCTTCCCAACCCACTGTGATCATATCCAGATAACACCAAGACAGATATTATACCAAAATTAAAAGACTGGAAGGAAGGAGTACAGAATAGAGCTGCAAAGATGATCCAGCAACTTTAAGGATATTTCTAAATGGAAAGAGAAGATGGAGAGGAAGGAAACAAACTAACCAAAAAAACCAACATAAAAATGAATGCAGCATGGCTACACAGAGAAATAAGATGTGAGAACTGCCTCTAGTGCACAGAATAGGAATAAACATAGAAATAAAGGATATGTTAAGGAAAGTTTAGTTCCTTGCTAGTGACAACTTCCCTCATCTCCCATGAAAAGCAGAAGTTTCAGTTCTCTGAAAAGTCACACTAACCTGAGCTAAAGGAATGAATGAAGCACCCACAGCTCAGCAGGAAAATGTAGCCAGTGACTGAATGGGTGTTCTTAACCTGCACTGTGATCATGTCCAAAATGCAGCAAAAAATCAGCACAACCCACACAAAGATAATATTTCAAAGTGATACTGCTCCCAGGGTCTCTCTCTTCACAATAGCTCAGACTATTCTACATTGACTTCTGAGTGGTGATAAATGAAGTGGGTAACAGGCACGACAACAAGCAGAGGGATGGTACAACCTGAGGGGCAGAACTGGGGACAAAGAGGGACATGCTGGAAAGGAGACAGCAGCAGGCAGAGCTGTCTTCCATCAAAAACCATTTTTAAAAGAAACAATCTTTCAGTTGTACCTTCTCTCTCCCACACTGCAAAATGCATGCAAAGCATCATTTCAACCCCCAAAGGAGGTGCAGCTCATTGCCACAAGCCTGTTTAATCAGTGCTATTTCCAAATTCAAGCAGATATGGCCCAACTTTTATATGTGCACCCATATGCACTTTTATACCGGTGGTTGTAATCCAAACCAAACAATTTCCTTGCAACACCAGGATGCCTTTTACCTATAGTTTTAAGCACCTTTCCACACCTTCCTTCCTTCCAAATATAATTGGTTTTGACCACTAAAGTGAACCAAAAAATTACTAAGTCATGTAAGAGAAGTTTCTTAAGGATAGGGAAAAAACCTCACAGTTGGGCTACCAAGCAACACAAACAACCAACCTTTCCATAACAAACCCCTTAGAAAAACCTCGTGAAAATATACTTTAATTCCCATTAAGACTATGGATTTCTAGTGAGCCAACAGCCTGCCTCTGGATTAGAGAAACAATTTTAACAGGATCGAAATGTCTGTCGCTATTCCACCAATGTCCTGCTGCCACCTCCTGGAAAACTTCCGAATTTCACACGAGCTTTTAGCAGGGGCTGGACCTGCATGAAGTTGCAAACAAATTCCATCCACTCAGTCCCTGTCTTAGTAAAAGTAACACTCCAAAGCTGATGCTGCTTAAAGAACTTGTGCTGCTGTGGGGCTTTTGTCTGATTTTTCTAAAATTTTCAGTATTGGTATCATTTTGTAAAGAAACTCTCTTCCTCTGGAACATGAGCAAGGTAAAAATGAATTGGGAATTACTCTCAGATAACCTTTTAGAATCTGCAGAGGGGTAAAAACTACCTGGCAGTTTTAGCTAGAAAGGGATCAAGCACTTGCCAGCAGTTCTCCATCTCATCTCCATCCTGACTGTCAAACAGTTCTTTCAATCCAAGCTTCCCATTAATATGGGGAGAGCAGAATGCAGAAACATGAACAACTGCATTTGGTCACTTCCAATGTTCTTAAATATAAGTCAAAATGCAATGGCAGAAACCTTGAAAAGCTTATCAAGGGTACCAATTACTGCAATCATGCCCACTTCAGACAGAAAATCTGTAGCATTGAATGATACGGAGATTATTTTATTTCATGTGAAAGTTGGGCACCTAAACTAGATATTAAATAGTTATTTGAAGTCCACTGTTAATAAAACTCTTTCTAATACTGCAATCTAGAGGATATAGAGATTCATAAATAAAAGACCCATAAATTTACAGCTCAGTGGGACAGTTTTCCTTTTTCCTTGACACCTTCCTTAGGTCACTCTATCACAGTAATTTGGGAAGCCAAAAAAGCAATGCTAAAGCAACGCCTCTGGCTTCATTGAGTACTTCTATTATTTCAAGCTTATTTCCCTCAGCTAGGGTTTAATTCTGACCACAAGGTTTAGAAGCATGGCTACATGCAGCTTCTGTTTTGAATTTCCTAAGATAACATTGATACAGAAGATGTCCAGGAAAGCATTACTGTTCAGAGACAGAAACACTTTAGGAGCTTAGGAGGGGTGAGCATTTGGCATTCTCTAGATCCTCCCAGATTCTGCCTGACCTTACTAAAATTGAGATACCTTGAAGCCAAGACTTAAAATAAATAAATACAGCTGCTTGGCTACTTTCTCTTACTATTTCATTTCTAGGAGCTTTAGTGAATTATTTCTTCATTTTAATATGAATAACCAGAAAGTGCTCAGTTGATACTGAGAAGGTATCACCAAGGGACAGCTAACTGAGCACTTTCAAGATTTTAGCTTGTTGTAACATTAATAGTGGTGGCTGGAAATTAATAAAACATATTTCTTGTCCAGTCTTGGATTGTCTGTCTCTATATGTCATATTAAAAATTTACAAAGTACACTAAAGATAAAACAGGCTTGTTTTACTAGATTACTAAAAACTACACTCTCTATTTTGGTGTTGCTTTGTGACTCTGTACGTTTTTATGAGTGGGAAGAGATGGCTTCATAGAGTCTTCATTTTAATAAAACAAGACAAACACACAAAGAAAGTAAAAATTCACTATTTCTTATGAAAACTAAGTTTCTCCATGGTTATGATGAACTTTCTGCATTTCACCAGTTTCTAAATAATATTTGTTATCTGACTTATCCCCTCTGTATCTAGTTGGTGTTTCTGCTGGCTTCATCCTTTAGTCTGGACTGTTTTTTCTGCATTTTCCCCATCTATCTGTGTCTCCTTCCTCAGTAGATAATAAAAAGCTTCCTGCTGTTCCACCACCTCCACTCAAATCAGCCAATCTGCATGCACAACACTGTCCTCTGGCTCTTTTCTTTGCTGGTGAGCAATGATGGAAGAGAAAAAGCAAAAGCAGGAGGCGGACAGGTCATGACTCCCATAAGAATCTACTTTTTATTTCCAGGTCAGTGACCAGATTCCTTCTCAGCCTTTATTAGCCCAGCTCACCCTACATCCCACTAGCAGGCTATGCTGGGAGCCTTGCAGCATCTCAGATCTGAGGCACAGCACTCTACACTCAGCAACAGCCCACTGTGGTTTTCCCAGTCCTATTTTCCCCATGAAAATATTCCCAGCTCTGCTCAGCTCCATCACCCCCCCCAGACAGCCAGAACCACCACCAACCACCCCGTTCCCATCTCAATTCCCTCTTTCCCACAGAACTCCACAGGCTCCCTCTCACTGTCACTTTATTACCAATATATACTTCAATACTCTCTATTTTACCATAAGATTCACAACAGAAAAGGACTCTTTCCTTCACCCAAGTATGTTTTTTTGTTCCACAGGGATTAAGCACCAGCAGCAAAAACAATCTACTCCAGAGGGAGAAAAGTAGAGGCCACATGAGCAAAGGTAGACACAAACCTCTCCCTAATGAGGGTGGCATGATTAACTCAGCTTGTAAGAGTCAACTCACTTGCTGCTTAATAACTCATTTGTGACATTATTATGTGATAAATACTCATTATTTTTATTCCTCTGTTTTGAGGGAAAACGAGGCAAGGCAGCAGGCAGTGCCAGCTTTGGGGAGCGAGGCTCAGCTGCAGGGAAGCTGCTGTGGATGACTAAACCTCACACTATTTGTTACTCAACTTTCTCATCCTGGTGATTCAACTCCAAGCTGCCTCAGGACAAAGGTGTTTCATTACAGGCAGTTTTCATGAGGCATCACATTCAGCTGCTACTTTGTATGGGAAAGAGTAACAACAAAAATAAAAACAAACCACTGCATCAGCAGCTATGTATTATGAAAACCTATAAAAAGGAAAATACATAGGAATACAGAAGGGATTGGGGGTTTTTATCATCTTTAAACTTACAGATAAAAAGTTTAAAGCAATGTATGTGATTTAAAGCCTTAAACTTTTGAAGGCTTGAGATTATCTGCATATATTACTTTTAAAAAGTGGAATTGAAAGGTATATATTATATGTAAATATATATTTTTTTTCCCCCTTCCAAGAAGGCCATGAGGGTTTGCCCTTTTTATGTGGTTACAATCTATAGTAGGTGCATCCACAGTCCAGTTGCTCAGGCTGTATTTCACCACTGCTCTTAAGGAACAAATCACTGATTGTACCATTACCACAGCCTGTTAATGCCACTCCACTTTCAGGATGATCCATACAGCTGACAAACCCAGTGACAGACACAAGGGGTCCATATGGCTCACATACACCAAGCATCAGAAAGATCATTTCAGTTTCCTTGGGACTGAAAACCTCATCATTCATTTGGTAAGAACAGTGCTAGAATAGAGGATGCTGTTCTTCAAGAGCACTGATCAGAACGTGGAGAACATCTACTGATTTCCTCTCCAGTACCACTTTAAAAGATTAGGATGATCCCTTTCTAAAGCTTCAGGTGGCCTTGGAAGATGATAAAGCAATGAGAAATTCTGACTGTACCACCTCAGGGATGATAATCATCACCCACATGAGTACCACTTAAATCAACAAAACTCAGTCAGTTCTTGAAATAAAGTTTCATTGTGGCTGGATGTAGGAGAGCTGCAAACTCATCTGGATTAGTGACAGTGAAGTCCTTGCACAAAGAGGACTGTTTTCATAAAATTTAGCAGATTCTCTTAAAGCCTATATTAAATTTAGTCTTTAATGCAATTGGTTAACTTGCTTTAGAATTCTGAAACAAGCTTCCCTAGGATTTAAATTCAGGGATCTGCCTTCCTCTAATAATACCCCCTAACAGAGAAGAAAATACTGTAGTGAGTGCTGTGAGTGCATTTCATTTTATAATGAGTCCTTATAATGCCCTATTTTCATAATGCTTATTCAGTCCTTCAACAATTCCTAGGCAATGCTGGGGGGAAATAGTTATTAAAATCTAAAGCTAAGCTATGATGTCATTCAGAGAGTATGCATCAGAAATAAACAGATATTAAGAACAAAAGAATAAAAAATAATTACAAAAGATAACCAGAAGTATTTTGATATCTAACCAGTGCTGGAAAGCTCTGCAGTGCAAACTGGGAAAGAAAGGTATCAGAGGATGTCCTGGCTTGACTATATGATGCTTCTATCCCCAATCATCTATTCTGTTTATGCTGAATAATAAGTTTTGCACCTTTAAGACTTGCTCCAGAGAGTGAAGGGGGGAGGAAGAAGCGCGGAGTTTGTTTTCAGACACTGCACTCACTCCTCCACATTACTACTCCTAAACTGTTGTTGTCTGCAGATAGACAGACAGCAAAACAGAACTCTCCTTCATTTTAGTTAGTTTTAACTAGCTAAAGCAAAAAAGTTCCCTAAACTATAGATTTTTTTCCTTTTTCTTTAAACCTATTTAAACCTACTCTAAACTAAACACCCAAAAAACCACCAAAACCTCACAGCTACAGCCCACCAAGCCAGGCCTGAGCCACAACATTTCCAATACCAATAAAACTAATAAAAGACTAAGTAAGCCAAACTACAACCCCAAAAAGAGACTCTTCTGAGTTTATAATCTCTTCTAAAACAACAAGAAGTTTTATTATTTAATGTATTTAAGTTTTATTATCTAATTAACTATTTTTCCAATTTTCTCCAAAAAAAATGTTTTTCCCCAAACCAATTAAGAAAAGAACCAATTAAATCTACTTTTCTAAAAGAAAAAACCCTTTAAAAGCTCTCTCCCAAATTTACCCTAAACCAAAACAAGTACAGATGAGTACAAAGACTTTTCTCTGTGGGGAACTCACCTCCATGTTCCAGAAAAACACGGACACACCTCTCCTTGCCTCTTGCTGCAGAGAAGTGAAGCAGGGTCCAGCCATTGGCATCCCGACCGTTGGGAGAATATCCCTGCTCCAGCATCTTGCGCACGGTGTGAACATCGCCGGCGGCCACGGCAGCCTGGATCTGCAACTCTTCCTGCAGCTCAGGGTTCCTCCTGCAGTGGTGGTGTAACATCCTAGCTGAGTCTGGCCTTTACAGGAGCCTCATGAGCTCACACGAGTCACCTTCAGTCAATGGGAAGCAGGAATAAATTAGGATTGGGATCAGAAATGGGGTATGTAGGAAAAGAAGGATTAATGGAATGTGATGCTAAGACTTCTGTCTGTATGCTGAGAAAAGTGATGTTACACAGAGGATAAAGCCCACATGATCTCACTCTTATTAGCAAAATCATAGTACATGGTGACATCACTGAACTGCAAAAGAAAAGGACACTTGCACATTATAAATAGTAAATGTTTTCTTCAGAAGTGACAGCATCAAGAAGCAGTTCACAATTAAAGCAACTGAGCAATGAGCAAAATGAAAAATCTTCAGAACCCACCATTCATTTCAAAATCACACCGTGGTTAACATCACTACCTCCAGAGACACTGGTTAAATAGATTATCCAGACTAAGGAATGGATAATCCAAACAGTTGCAGGAATCACCACTGCACTGCTACAGTAACTGAGCTATGATACTCTTTATTTTTCTAGAAATGCACCTCTTGTAAGCTTCAGTGAAAATATCTTACCAATAGAATCCTGTCACCTACTGCATGTATTAGTAACACTAATGTTCAAATTGAAAATTTTAATTATCTTTTTTCCTTTTTCATCCTTTTTTTTTTTAATTAGTCTTCTGTTTGCATTCTGGCTTGAGCACTTCTTAATTAGTACACAAAGGCTGCAAAGAACTTCTACGTTCCAAAAATCAAATACAAGGGTAATATTTTATGAGCCCTGAAATACATTTAAGTGAAGTTACTACAGTCCTGTCAAACACCATGAGAACATATGTCAGAATAATTCCATTTATAATTACCTTGATACAGTACATAAGAGCAGGGCCAAAAGGGTAACTAAAATAGCCACTGTAAAAGAGCCTAGAAACAAGCACACATTGGGAAAGAGAAATAGTATGTCCTCCATGCTCTGTTTGGAAAGTACCACTTGTAGTTCGACTTGGGAGCAAGAAAATGAACAGGTATTTAGGGATTGTTCCCCAGTACACAAAGTTAAGTGATTGCATTTTCACATACATTGTGTATTATATCCCATAGTCCTAAAATAGAAAGGAGTATCAGAAGAAAGAATAAAATCAGGGTATGAGAAAGGTAATGCTGAGCAATAGGAGCCTCAGAAAATATTCAAACATGGATGGATATCAACACAGACCTAGAAGATTAAAAACTCCTGAAAAATTCATCAACATTAAAGTATAAAGAAAAGTCCTAATGGTGAAAATGAATTTCAAGCAAAATTTAAAATTTACAGTAATTTTTTGGTTTTTTAGGATGTCAACAGACATCATCATCTAAACCTTCTTTTAGGTATCATAAAGACTTCCAGATCCTCGTGATCCACAGGTCATTCAAAAGTAATTGCAGTCACTCTCCATATCCCACTGGACGCTTGTTTTCCTGTGATGCAGGTATAGCCACAGACAAGAGAAAAGTGAAAGCATCAATCACTGCCAACTTTGCAGACAAAGGCACAGTGTGTATTTGCTCTTCTGCAACCTCCTCGTGCCCCTGGTATGGAAGTTTTTATCTGCTTTTTGGAGAGATAGAAACTCATAATTAACAGGTGCTCCAGTGACCCTACTTACCCTGCAAATATGGAAATTACACACAGCAAACGCCTGTCTTTGACATTTATAAATGCTTCAGCTTACCATGTATGGCAACAATCACTACTTCAGCATAGGGTTATTAAAGAAGACTTTTTAGCTCCATATGTTATACATGGCTTAGAAACTGGCTTTGTTTTGTTTTACAGTGTGAACTTCATTCTCTGAGACTGGGAGGAAAGGGGATTTGCAAAGCAGCAACTGCCAGCTCAATAGGTCAGCTTTTGCAGCATATTCCAAAAATCAAACTTGGTTAATCTGATGACAATGGAAGTATTTCTATTGACTCTAATAAGATTTTGCTAAGCTCTTTTCTAAACTCCAATTAGCACTTCAGAACATGCTCACCTATAAGACAGCGAGCTTGACTTCACTCTGCATCACACCACTAACAGCACTGGTAATGAAATTCCAGCTGCAAGGGTAAGATCTTTGGATTTGCAGGTGAAAACTGACAGTAGAATCTAACTGATGATGATGAGTCATGCAAAACCCTTAAAAAATTGCAATTCAGACCATGTCCCTTTTAGCCCTAGTGTCTGAATATCTACAAAAACAAGATATGAAAACTTTTTGTTTTTCAAACTGAGAATACCTGATCAAAACTTAATGCAAACAAACTTTATGATGCCATTTTTTCAGTCCTTTCTTGTAAAGGACCAATACTTGCAAGCCCTCAAGTGATCCTGAAAATTAAGGTCAGGCTAGTTGCTCAAAATGCTACAGAAAGAGATGGGATGACTAAAGAGATGAAGGGAAATGGGATTTCTCATTTGAAGGGCCAGCAGTATTCCTTCCCCCTGCAACTCTCTGTGAAGACAGTTGGTTGAGGAAAAGCAGAGCTCTCTCTCTCACACTTCTCAGCTGGTGGGTATATTTGCAATGCAGCATTATAAAAAATTGGCATTGGCTCCATATGTTGCATGTGACTAGCAGAGCTTATTCAAATTAGCTGGTACTAAAGTACATAAGTACTAAAACATACAAAGCAGAAGACAAAGTCAGGCAGCTCCTTTTATCACTTGCACAGTTTCTGTAAATATCCACTCTTCCATCTCACCCCTATGGCAAGCAATGAAATTCAAATGACAAGAATACTTAACCATAACATTAAAGGTTTCAGGATAGTTTTAGGTACACACCAGCTTTGAAAACATTTTTACTTCTGCTCCATAGATCATTTAAAACTCCTGTTTGCAGAGCCCCATTTAAGACATCAATCTTTGGAGAAGAGAAGGAGGACTACTGGAAGTAGCCCTTTGGCATTTAATATTTAATGTTTTGCAACTGTAATCAATCTCATTCAGAACTCAGCATGCATTTGGGTTGTTACATATTGGCTTTCTGCATGCAAGTAAAAAAATGAAAGGAAGCACAGGGGGGAAAAATATACCTATATATTCTTGGTTATAATGATTTTATAGTGCCATGAAAATGGAGGACAGCAACAGTTACTTAATTGATTTTGCAAGTACAACAGGATAAACTCAATGTGGTCCTGAATTACCTTATAAGAGGTTGCTACTCTTTGATGGATGTCCCACTCTTCATTGTCTTCACTGTTCATAATCTTCTGTGCCCATGTGTGTCAAACAACCTGCTACCCCTTAAAAAAATGGTATTTCATGTTAGTTGTAAAGAATAAAAGCCAGAGGTTTACTTACTTTTACTTTGTTTGTGTGTGAGAATGCTACATTTTCATGCAGCTATGTCAGAAAAGACCCAAAGTGTGTTTTCTATCATTACCAAAGAGTCCTCCAGAGGTTGGGGAGGGCAGAGTTTGCTTCTGCCACACGAGGAAAAGGCTACAGAGAATATTTTATGGAAGACAGGAGAAATGAGTGATGTGCTTCCTGTCTGGAGTAAACCTTGAAGAAATGGTCTACACCCTTCTCTAATAATTACCTGCATCTGCCCCTCCTGTATGGAACAAGAATGGATACAAAGGTTACAGTAGGTACTTCTGCCTCAGTGCTCAACATCTCCCTGTGGGAGTCAGATGCCAGGAAAAACATTCAGGATCCATTTAGCTCTTCCCAAACTACTTTTGTGGGCTTTTTATTTGTTTGTGGGGTTTTTTATTATTGTTTTTGTATGAGGTTTGGGTTTGTTTTTTTTTTTTAAATCTCCATCCCATCTCTGTTTCCCTAAGTAAGGAATAAAACCTGAGCCCCTAGACCATTGAGTTGTGTCCTTCAGCTGGATTTGCAGAGTCTCCAGCCTGTCTCCTCTCCCTCATGTGACAGCTCAAGCTGACACACACTGCGTTTCACAAACAGGTAAAGCCACCTCCACAGTACAAGAAAACCACCAGCTCAAAAATCTTCACCCTTTTCTTCATAAAGAAAAACCAGCCTTTTAGAATCAAGGTTTACCAAAAGCCAGTTACAACCCCTGTGCAGATTCCTCCTTCAGACTGGCCCCTCCTTATCCCCCCTGTCACCTGCAGTTAATGGGATCAGTGGCAGACCACTCCTCCTGTACTCATCACTGTTCTTTCACTAATTCTTTGTACACCTTTATCTGACCTTTCATTTCCTTTGGCTGCAAACTTTTAGTGAAAGGCCCCCTTATCTCATCTGAGCACTGCAATCATGTAATAAACAATAAAACCATTAAATACTTAATTGTACAGCTGATCACACAAACCCAACTGTGACTCGTTTCTTCTGCAAACGAGTTGCACCAGAGCAGTTCCATGAACTGTGCAGCTCTCAGATTAAGTTGAAATTTCTGCCACTTAATGCAACATAAAATCATGCTTTCACAATGATAGCTGAAAGAGGAGGATGAAAAAAAGTCCTTTTTATCCCTCTTATGCACATTTTTCAAGAGCTTTGCTTCCCAAGATAAAACATACAAGGTCTTCAGATATGCTTACAGCCCTGCACAAAACTGCACTGCCATGACCTAATTTGATCACATTTCTAGCCTTGTTTTTCTGCATAGATGATCAGTCGTTCACCTTTTTTTTTTCAAATTTTTGCATGATTTTCACTTTAAAACCCACACATTTTTTATTAGCTGATGCAAATTAGAATTGCACTGACTTCACAGACTACAGACAAGGTAACAGATTGCTCCACTAAAAAAGTAACAAGCTTTTTCCCCCCAAAGGAAAATTAGCTGCATATGGCAAGAGTAAGATCTGCAACTTTAATAAAAATAAGTCATATTTAGTAAGAGTAAAGCTCCCTCACTCAATGACTTAACAAAGTTTGATTAAAACACTAATAATAATAGTAGAGGCAGCACTAAATAAAAATAATAAGACAAACATCCTCATTATCTATTGATAATGTCTCATGTTGTCAAAGAGATCTTAGACTTTTCCACATCAATGTGTCACTTCTTTAAAGTCACTGCAAACATCATGTGGAAAATTAATTCCAACATATGTATACACTTACTTTAAAGAAAGTTAAAGGTTGGTACAAAAAGCAAGACCTCAAAATTCAGTATTTTGCTCATTCACACGGCCTGACAGAAAGACCTGATCCCTAAACTCAGAGATTACACACCCAAGAGCAGAATAAGGACCATAAGTTATGGATGTCAGCCTAACTCTGTACAACAAGGGAAGTGTACCATTACACATGACATTTAGTATCTGGCATAGACCTCATCAGTGTAGATCTGAGTTGCCTGTGGTTGAAGTATTCCGAGACATTTAAGTCAAATAAACAACAGAAAAAAGGAATGCCCTGTGGAATAAGGATAATCACATCAGCCTTCATTAGTCTCACAACTCACTTCTCCTACCCATTTCAAAGCTTGAACAAGCTAAATGTGTTCTCACTCACATGGCATTTTAAAAATGGTCAATATATTTTTGACAAACTAAACACAACCATCATTTCAGCTGTCACTCACGCTCCTATTCCAGGAGCTCTTCAGACAAGAGAGTAGGGCAAACAATTGTGTTGTCATTTGCATTCTCACATCCCAATCGTGAAGTTTGCAAGTAACATGTGAAATATCAAAATTTCACAGAGCCTTATAATCCCAAATATATTTTCTGCTGAAAGTTCCATGCTACAGCCCAGACACCAAGTGAGGTATCCCTGTGACTGAAATGAAAATCACCAAGCAACACATGCAAGCTGCTGGGCCTGAAAGCAATGAGTTAACAGTGCATGAATCTAAAACATCACAGAGGAACTGCTGCTTCAAAGGAAAGAAGCCTTCACTCCTCACAAGGTGTCATTAAAAGTTACACATTTCTCATGAGAGCTCCTATAAGGCCAGCTTGGACATATGAAATTTAAAATAACCAAAAGAGTTAATCTACAAGTGCCCCACCAACTTCAGGTGTTCCTAGAACTAGAGGTGGTGCTGTTACACACTAATAAGCAGCTGTTGTGTCCTTACATTCTGCAGGTGGATGAAACTGAAGCACAGAGGTGTCATTTTACCACAATTATCCATCTCACTGAGAGGTTCTGAGGTCTGACTTTGGGCCTGATGGAGAATCAGGGACATCACCCAGCTCAAACAACTTCAGGTGTGCAAACCTGAGAGAAGCTTCCCCTTCAGCAAGCACAGCAACCACTCACCATCCTCAGCACCCCCACCCATACACTGGCGACCTTAAGCACAAGCAGAGCCCCAAGAATAAAATCCTGCAACTCCTTCTGAAGGCAGGACCTCAATGCTGATGCTAAAGCAAGGCCTTCCAGCTCTTTTTTCAGTAGAGAATGCTGCATCAGGTTCACACAGCCAGAACCTCCTCCCTCAAGATGTGCACTGACAAACTGCAGGGAGCTTGTGCTCTGCAGCATGCTTGGAGATCCTCGTGTACCAAGCAAAAAATACCAATTCTCCTCCAACTTACAGCAGTGCTATCACCAAGTTTTAAACAGCAAAAGTCAGATGGAAGCTTAGTAATTAATTTGTAGCAAGTGTTAATTGCTAAGATTTATGTATTTTCACGTGATTTACTAACATTAGAGCACCCAAACACCAACACTGCATGGAATGACAGAAGCAGGAACCAATGGCGAGCTCAAACCATATTAAAGGAGTCACTTCAGCCCTAATTCTCAGAGCACAGCTGATAAACCAACTGAGTGCTGCTTACAGAGTTTGTGTCATTCAACAATCTCTAGAAGTACATTCAATATATATTTCTATTTAACACAGCCTAAAAGAATCCAAGTGGACAAAATTTGTTGGATGTCTTTAGTGGACAAAGCAAGACTTCACTGTGATAATATCATTCTGTAAGCATTGCTGGAACAAAACAAAACCAGCCCTCAGACAGCACATTTCCTTTAAGGGTTGAGAATTCACAATGAGGAAAAACAAACCCAAAATGAGCATACAGCCTGAAGACTAAAGCTTTCTCTAAAGGGCTGCTATACTGGCAACATGCTGCATTTCTCCCAGGGATCAAGAGCAGGACTTCAGCACATCAGTGATCTCTGTGCCCTGTTTAAACCACGTGCAAATTTCAGCCAGAAGTTAATTCCCTGATTCCCACGAACTCAATTCCAGTCTCTGCATCTGAATCAAACTTTGCTGCACTGGCATTTCACACTAGGAAGGAACTTCACAAATCATATGAAAACTTAGGTCTCCTGTTGTGAATAAATCCCAAAGATCCCATGAATTGTTGGCACCACGAGGTGTCCTGTTGGAGCAGCTACAGCCCTGATGTGAGAAGCACTGGGTGGGTTGGGAAATGGGAGTTACAATAAACTAAATTCAGATTAAACAGCTGTGCAATAACTGGTAAGTTTGTACTGATCTGCCTCACCTATTAGTAGGAAAATCCCTCCTGGAATCACACTGGGCATGTCCACATGTTCTGCCATTACTCCTGAGTTATCAAAATAACATGGAAAATTTCTTCCCTGCACTTCCAAAGCGTGCCTCAGGATTTGCTGCACTTGTGTTACAGAGGGATTTTCTATTTAATCTTCAACACAGAGCAACCACTTTTTGTCTTAATCTAAAGACATCTGTATTGGAAAAATGATCCAGCCTTGACCAAGGCTGCTGGCAACAAATACTGCTGTTTCTCCTGCAGGCTAATGCTCAAAAACAACTGATTGCCAACAATGAACAACGTTTTGGTACAGTCAGTGACATCTCTGAAAACACGACATAGACCAGAGGGACCTCCAGGGAGGGCATCTTAGCCAAAAAGCCAAGCTCACCTACTTTTGAAACAGATTAAGATGGCTTCAAGACAGACCCTGCGTTAGAAGAAGGCACAGAGTCTCCATCCTTTGGAGCACACTGACAGCAGGCTGCAGAAAAAGTCTGACTGACATCATTCACCCCCCACTCTCTGCTAGGATCCATTTCTTCATCTCACCACATAAAGCACGCAATTCTCCCTACGAGCAGCTCTCCCCCTGAAACAGAACCTCCCTCCTACCAGCAGCATTGGTTTTCATAACTCCTTTAATTTTTTCCCCTGAAGCACCCAACAGCATCATCATCTTCTATGATCTCAGCCCAAAAAGTAAGTACTTGTAAGCAGACACCATCCAATTAAATTAATTTCAATTTTTGCAGCTCCGTTACAACACACACACAATAAAGTGACCCACACAGGAGTGAGGTATGACTAAACCAATGTAATGCATTTACCATGACCTACCCCAATAAAGATTTGAAAATCGAAACAGAAGCAATGCTGAACCCATAAATTTATGGAAAGACTTAAAGAAAAGATCCTTTTAACAACCTAGAGCAAAGTATTTTTAAGTGACACCCCTGAGATGAAGACACAAACCCCTCCATTAAGTAGCAATTCATAATCAAAACAACATTTTCAGAATAATTCTGGAAAATTATAAAGTGTTACAAGAGCAACTGTACTTCAAACGGGATTAAGAGCTTTCAAACTTTAAAAGGTCAACAGCAAGTAGGTTTTAAAAGAACAAAGAAATCTAATGCTACCTATTCAAATCCATAAAAACACAAGAGGCCCCAATCCCAGCCAAACCATGTGTCTAGGATGACTCTGAGAGTCTAAATGAATCATCACCTTTCTGGGGGCTTTTTGAGTGCTGTTTTCTCTCTTCTCTGTTATTTTGTTCTTTGGAGTCACTATTTTTAATTCTCCTTTAAGGCAGCTTAAACCTAAAAAAAAATAAAAAAAAAGTAGAACTGAGCCACACAATGACATAAAAGAGAGAAAAGAAGAACAGAATTGGTTAATACAAAAGCAATAGCTGGGCAAAATAGGAAGAGCCTTCACAAATTTGGAAGGAAAGGGGTTAGTCATCAAAACCGGGATCTCTCCTGGAAAAGGAGGACACTCTCCCAGGATACCAAGGAGTTGAAGGGATAACAACGGCAGGACCGCTGCCCTGTCAAGGCAGCTCCTCCAGGGAATGGAAGTAAAGATAAGTGCTAAAGAATGGGACAGGAAGTAACCCAGAAAGCTGAGCTGCTGGGAAACCAAACCTCTCCCTCGCAGGAGTTCACGCTCCAGGAGCCGTCAGCCGCGCACACACACACACACACACAAAAAGCCGGCCGAGCCCCGGCGCACAGCCCCAAGGCCCGGCGGCCGCCGAGGCACCCGGAGCGCCGCCGGGGGCTGGGGACGGGGACCCCCCTCCGCGGGCAGCCCCGGGGGCGGCCCGGAGCCCGCCGGGGGAGCGGGCAGGGGCGGCGGGGGGCTGCGCACCCCTTCCCTGAGGGAACGCCGGGGGCGCCCCTCACAGCCCCGCACCGCCGGAGGGGCTGCCCGGTGTGGGCGAGGGGAGGCCATGGGGTCGCGCCCCCCCCCCTCCCCGCGCCGCGAGGGACCCCGGGGCAGCCGGGGTTACCTGCGTGACCCGCGTGCCGGAGCGGGGCGGGCCGGGGGCCCCGGGCGCGGCCGCCCCCCGCGCTGGCGGCGGCG